GCCCGCCGCCAATGGCCGTCCCAGGCCGCTCGCTGCGAGGCGGCTCGGCCGCGGGCCGGTCCTTGTGCAGCTGGGTCCCGGCGTTTCGGCTCCGCGGCCGCGGCTTTCCGCGGGGGAGAGCGCGCCCCGCTTACCCGAGGCGGGCCGAGACGGTGCTTCTCCCGAGACGTGCGGGACTGACGGTTGACGCCCGGAAAATGCGCGCCGCGGGCGGGGGAGGGGCGCGGGCGGCGGGGGCAGGTGGGAAGAGGCCGCTTCCGACCCGCACTGCTGGGCACTGGGCGCTCGAGGCGGCCTCGCCACCTGCTGCGCTGGCACGCGGGGGCAGCGAGCGGAAACAAAATGCGCCCGACCGCTCTCTGCTCACAATGGGTGTTTCCAACTGTAGGTCATACTTACTGCGACCAAGTTTCAACTCTTCTTTGGTCACTTGCCCTCCAGAAATTTTAAGAAAATGCACTTTTACTGCAGGTTCTCTCCCTTTCATCTAGCAATTCCGTCCAATAAAAATACAATGTAGGGTGCAAATGCGGGCCACTATGTAAATAGCCCAGAGCCACAAAATAAAGCAGTAAAAAAGAAATGAAATTTAATGTATTTCGTTTACCCCAATATAGCCAAGGTGGTACCATTTCGACATGTAATTAATATAAAAAGATGAATACTTTTTCTCTGTTGAAATTCGGTGTATTTTACACTTAAGGCACATCTCATTTGCGATTAGATTCATTTAAGTGCTTATAAGACATACGTGGCTAGTGCTTGTCCTATGGTACAGCACATTTCTAGTCATGTAGATGTGAATTCTTGTTTTTGTCAGGCCCTAAGACACAAATGCCAAGAGGAGGATTAGTGTAAGTGATGAAAAAAGGGAAAAATAAACTTCTTTACTGTTGGATTGAACCGTCTCGACAAACCTTGACTTTAGCCCTGTGATTTACACAGTGCTTAATGTTTCTCCATCTTCCGTCACCACAGTCATTTCAGATAGGGTCAAAAAACACTAACCATTTTCTCGGCTCACCAACAAAACATTAATCTTCACCTAAATGAATAAGAAAAATGGCTTTAATAAGGACAACCAGGAATAAATGATCTGTGTTGCTGATGTCAGACAGTATTATAAGGTGTATATCCTTTTGTTCTTAAGGCAGGGTTGTTGTCAGGGTTTGCAAGGAAAGCAATACAGAACACATAATTTATAGGATTATTTTATAATAGTCACCTAAAAAGTCATACAGGAAATCTGTCCATATACTGAAGATCCAAAGAATACCGCTGAGGAACTGGATCCTATGATAAATCCCTGCATGAGTCCAATTGAAGACCCAGAGCCCATGACAATGCCTCATGCAAGCCTATTTCAAGGATCTGTGCTGGGAAGGCCCAAGATAGTGGTGGAAGCGAGAAAGTCTGTGCCAGGAGGGTCAAGGATCTGTGCCAGCAGGCTGAGGAACCTGCACTGGAGCCAGGAAGCAACACTCAAAGTAAGGACCAGAGCTCCCCCGAAAATTACCACAGCCATCCTCAGCAACCATGAGGTCTCAAGTGCCTTCAATGATGAGAATAGCTGAGTTCATATCAGGAAAGCCAGCTCGACAAGCTTCTCCAGGACACTGAGCAGTGCACCGTCTTCCCCTTCAGAGCCAGGAAGCGATGCTCAAAATAAGGACCAGAGCCCCCCCAAAGTGAACCATAGCCATTCTCAGCAACAAGGTCGTGAGCTCCTTTGACAATGAGAACGGCCGAGTTCATATCAGAAAAGCTAACATGACAAGATCCTTCTTGAAAAAAAAAATCCTCCTCGAGACCCAACAGCTTCTGCAGTTCTTTTTGTTTTGTTGGCAGCAATCCTCAGGTGGGCCTTCCGCATCCAAACTGATTTAGTTCCTCCGGGTGTTACAAGTTGACCACCAGTTGTCAATCCACCACAAGGGTCTTGCTATGTAGTTCAGGCCAGCCTTGCACTCACTGTATATCCCAGGCTAGCCTCAAACTCACAGTGATCCTCCTTGCTCAGCTGCCCTAGTGGTGAGATTATAGGTATGCACCATCATGCTGGTGCAATATTAGGTTTAAATTTGTGGTGTGTAGGTGTAGTCCCAGCCCTCAAGAGGCCAAGGCAGAGGATCAAAAGTTGGAGGCCAGCCTGGCCACATAAGGAGTTCAAAGCCAATCTGGACTACATAGCAAGACCCTGTCTCAAAAAAGGAAAAATGAAAACAGTAACAAAAATTAAGTGATGCTGCTAACATTTTGAAATCCATTATTGTATGTAATTATCAGTCTTGTGGCCTGCACTACTGTATTACACAGAAGGGATCCATAAATTATGCTTAAAAACTCAGAGTGACTATTCCTGGATGCTTTGTTGGCTTAGATGTCCTGACTCTGTCCCTATGTAGAATGTCTATTCGTATTGGGTTAATAATATCCCTTCATTATTGCAGGCTGATCAGGTCCACAATCTCCCGAACAAGTGTATGGTGAAGGCTAAATAAAAAGAGGCAAATGGAATGATTTCAGGGCTCCAGGAGGATCAAAGCCCTTTTACAGAATTTAAGATTCTCTCAGGACAAGACCAAGACCTTCTCTGCGTGGCCCGTATTTATTTGGTTATCAGAAGAAGGGAGGGGAGTACTTAAGAAGGGCAGAATCACTCAAGGACTTCTCCAACTAGAGGTGTTAAGGTAATAAGTTAATCCTTAATAAGGATGAAGTCAGTCCACCCAGGAGTGAAATGCTTGAGGATATAGTCTATCTAGTTGAGATCAGATCCAGGTGTCCTTGGCTGTGATCTCGTTTTATCCTTTGAGGCTTTCCGGCTTCATCCACCATTACAGGCCTTAGCAGGGATTAGTGACTCACAGAGGTTCACTTACTTTGAGTCCACCACCCATCTCCAGACAAAGAGCCTAGGCCTTGGACAGACTCACAAGTAAACAGGGAAAGTCAATTAGTTAATTTAACTAATTGCTCAAGGCTGCTTCATAGTGGTCTCCATTATGTTCTCACCATCTTTCTTCATCCCTTGTCCCATGGATAATAGACCTTTTGTAATACTAGGAAACTTCCTGTGTGAAGATGAGATTATTCTGCATCCTTGAGAATATGAGGGTACTTTATCTCTGCAGGCTTCTTTTGTTAGATAAAATTGGGTAATTCAGAGATATCCTTGGTTTTTCCCTACTTGCTATTATGTAACTTTAGCCCTAGTCTTGCACTGTGTGAAAGGCGGACTTGGGAATAATATGAATAGTTTTAAGATCATGATAATAATAGTCAGTATGTGTTGAATGTGTTATTATGTACCAGTCACGGTTTCAAAGGTTTACCTTTTTCATTTTATTTAATCCTCAATACTATGTGAGATAAACATTCTAGAATTCTCACCTTACAGATGAAGTGCCAAGATAACACAAGAATTCAGAAGCATTTGGGAACTATCATAAAACTGACTGATAGGTGCCAAGTATTGCAAAATGGCAAGAAAAGAATTCTCTGTGAATGCTCCTCCTTTACTTTTAGGCCCTTCTTATTAATTCATGTCCCCAGGAACCTGGGTCCTGGTGCAGGAAGGAACTGCCTCCTCATTTCTGGTCAAGATACATAGGCAGCTGTGCAGATGTGTAGGTATAATTTATTGTAAAGTAGATTCAGAGAGAATTACACTTTCAAGAGAAAAGATGGGCCACATCACAAAGGCATCTTCACCAAGTCTGGGTATCTTTTTATCCACATACGAGTTACTCCTGGGATTCAGGGAATTAAAGTAATTATGGTACTTATCAACATTTACTTAGGGGGCTGGGGATTTAGCTCAGTGGCACAGTGCCTGCTCGGCAAGTGCAAGGCCGTGAGTTCAATCCCCGGTACTGGAAAAAAGAAAAACAAAAATAAAATAAATAAATAAATAAACATTTACTTAGAAACTACTTTGGAATTGCAAAATGTCTCTCTGTCCTTTGTAAGATGGTCGCTATCTCCACAGGGGATTTAATCAGGTAAGAAACTTATAAAAGAAATCTATAAAACATAAATTCTTAATTTAAGCCAGATTCCAGCCCAAGGCAACAGGGCCTTTAGAGAACATTTCCTTTCCTGATATCATTGGGCAGTAGGCCATGGCATCCAGGAATGCTGTATGCCTTGTTTTAAAATTAGAGTCAGGTAGCCAGGTATCAGAAGGGATGCATACAGGGTGTAACCTTAAAATGTCACTGTGCTCTGTGGTGTCAATTTAGGTCTGAGACTGAACAAATGATTATGAATGTATTCGATATTGAAGTGTTTGTTTCTTAACTGGAAAGGCATGCTATTTTGGACTCCTCCCTCTTTTCCCTCAGACTCACTATTGTCTAACTACTTGCCTAACAATTGTAGTGTAGGCAGACTAAATTCTGAGAGGTTGGAAAATGTGTTGTAATATAAGAAACGGACCTGCTATCAACTACGGCAAAGATGTCTTCTTAAACTAGGTTTGCTAAGTGTTTTCCAGGAAGATTTCTTTAAATTGCCTATCTTTGATTCTTTCTCACTATAGTTGCATCCTAGGAGAGCTCTGTCTTGGCACCTAGAATGTTCAGTTGTTAGTATTTTGTTTAACTGTCTTGTCCATTAAAGTAACCTACGAAAGGCAGAGAATGCCTTCTCATCTCTGAATCTTTAGAGCCTAATCCAGCACTTTGTCCGTAGTAGGCTTTTAACAATAACGGTACGTACCTGCTCTTCACTGGATCACCACCAGAGTGACAATAAAGAAAACTGATTTTCAGAGCTTACTGACTTCAGCTTCATCATCAGGGCTTGTAGGTTTAGATAGTGCAGCCTTTTAGTCTAGTTAATGGGAGAAATTTTCATAACTATGAAGTAGGAAATTTTTGCAAACCACATATCCAACAGAAGATATCTAAGGGGCTGGGGATTTAGCTCAGTGGCACAGCGCCTGCCCGGCAGGTGCAAGGTCATGAGTTCGATTCCCGGTACCAGAAAAGAAAAGAAGATATCTAGATTAAATAAAGACTTTCAAAACTCAACTGTAAAAGAACAATTCAAGGTGGGCCTGATGGTGCAGGCCTATAATCCCAGAACTCTGGGAGCCTAAATTAAGAGAATCATAAGTTAGAGCCCAGTCTGGGCAACTTAGTGAGACCCTGTCTCAAAATTTAAAATTATAAAAGGGCTAAGGAAGTAGTTTAGTGCAAAGGCCCTGGGTTTAATCCTTAACACCCACCCCCAGACATAGAAACTGGGCAAGATACCATTCATTAAAAAGAATATACAAAAAAAATATACAGAGAACATATAAGCTCACGAAAAATGTTCAGTAGAATTAGCCATTAGGTAGGTGAAAATTAAAACTCCAATGAGATTCTATTACTCACTTACCAGAATGGCTAAAATAAAGTTTTTAAATGATAGCACCAAATGCTTGAAAGGATATAAAGAAACTGGAAACTGAGCCACTCATACACTGCTGGTAGAAATTTATAATGGTATGCTCACTTAAAAAAACATTTAACAGTTTCTTTTAAAATACATATGTTTATACACAGTACCTCATGTGATGGTTAAACTGTAATCTTGATTGGATTAAGAGACTCTTGGAGAGGTGATTGCATCATGTGGTTGCTAACTTAATCAGTGACTTAATCCACTGATATTTGTAGCTAAATGTGCTGTTAGGATATGGGCCCAGGGTAGAAGTGGGTCACTGGGGCCATTCCTTTGGAAGGTGTGACTCTTGATAGTACTCCTCCCTTGTGCTCTGCTTTCTCTCTTTGTAGCTTTGCTCTCCCATACCCTTCCACTATGAAGTTCCGACCTTGGAACCAGCCAACAAGGGACTGAATCCTCCCAAATCATGAGCCAAATTAAACCTCTCTTCCTTTAAACTGCACTTGTCAGGTATCTTACACCAGCAAAGGTCAGCTGACTAGTGAACCATTCCAAAGAGATGAAGATTACGTTTACACAAAGCCTGTACTCAAATATTTATAGTGGCTTTTTAAAAAAATGTCCTTGAAGGAATGAATAAACTATGGTACATTTATTTAAGCAGCAGAATACTACTCAGCAAGAAAAAGGAACTACCAATATAAAATATCTCATGAATTTCTATAATCTTGAAACTGAGGTAGGATAGAAGAAATTAAGGTTAATAGAAAGGAGACAAAGAAAATTACAATTTTAAAATTATACTTTTAAGAAAAATTGAAGTGTCAGGATACAAAGTTACTCAGGTCTCTTTGCCTTTCAATAAACTGATCTCTCCCAAATTCCTAAGGGTCCTAAAGGCACAGTAAATGTGGGCCCATGCTTCTAACTTGTAGGGAGGGCTTTTTCATCTGTAAAATGGTCCTTTCACCTACAGAAAGGACATCATCTTTCACTTGTAAACCGAACTCTTTCTTTCCATAGATTTCTATCCCTAGAACTACAATAACATAGAGTCCATGGTAATAATGTGCCTTTATCTCTTGAGGACCTGTGCTTTATTCTCTTTGACTGTGTACTTTTAAAATTCTACCTAATAAACCTCCTTATGTCCCATACTGATGCATCTTGAAAATTCAGTTTCTGGCTGGGCTTGATATTGCAGACTGGCAATTCTAGCACTTGGGATGCTGAGGCAGGAAGATCATTCAGTTCAAGGAAAGCCTGGGCTACATAGTGAATTCAGGGTCAGCTTGAGTTACATTGCAAGACTCTGTCTCAAGAAAATTAATTTTCTATAATGGAAGCCAGGGAATCTACAACCTTCATCTCTCCTTTGGGCCTTCTCTGCCCCTGTTCAGTGACAAAATCAAAATGGAAAGCAGATTAGCAACTGCCAGGGATTGATGGGGAGGGTAGGGTTTGGAGGGTAATAGATGTGGTTATTAAAGTATAGGTACTATGATGAATCCTTGTGATGGAACTGTTCTGTTTTTTAATGTAATGACTGTCATAATCAGTGTATTGCACAGATTAATCATTCTTTATTTTAAAGAGAATAAAAAAATAAAAATACACACAATACAGAATTTGAAAACAAGATGAAAGATAACAATATGCGATGTAACAACCATTGTTAATTTCCATTCTTCAAGGTACAAGCTCCAGAGGACCAATTGGGTCTTTAAATTTATACAAGTATTTCCATCAAATGAATTTTTACCCTTACATCCAAATAGACCTAAGCAGTTAAAAACATAAGAAAAATAACAGCCATTAGCTATGCATTAACTGAGAAACCACATGCAAACCAAAGGACATGGAGAGACAGAAGCTGAGAGGACAGAAGTTCAAGCAGCAGAGAGATGTGAAAGAGTTAAGAACAGAGCCCATCACAATTTATGTACTAATAGCCCCAATCCATTTAAATGTTGACCAGTTAAAGTTAGACCTTAAAATACAGGACGCAGGTAGAACTTAATCTGGTTGGTCACAACTTTCACCCAAGTTGTAGATCCTTTGGAATAAAATGAATACAGAAACAGCTTCATGTTCTTCATTTTGCTTTGCATAACCATTTTGAGTTTACGGATTCCACTTAAAAACATCTACAGGTCAGTGGAACTTTTCCCTATCCGAGTACATACATGTACCCACCACATCTCACACCTTACTGTTACCTAAATTCATGTCAATAAGGAAAGTGTTTTAGTCTCACACCTAGGTTATGCCTGAAGAACTGGCTTGTGACATATACATTTCTCTGCTAGGAGGCAATGTTGGTACAGGAGTACAGTACTGCTAGTTTGCTGTTTCCAAGTATGTACAACACAAAGCACTGCTGTCAGGTAAACAAATGCATAGGGGAAGATGAGGTGTGAGCTCATAGAAAGCAGTCAAATGGAAATCACAAAGACTTTCTCTTTTAGAGCTCCCCTATTTTAATTTGCAGAGGTTTTCCAATAATTTCTTTAATTACATCACATACTTCTCAGTCTATTCCGGGGCTTTTCTGTTGTACTTTTGTCTACCTGTTTTGTAGATCTGAGCAATCTCAGGCCCTAAAGGATCATCTGGATTGGGATCACACAACAGAGAACTTTTGAAATAGTGCTGGAGACCACTGTGACCGTAGAATATCAAGACAAATTCTGCCATTCCTGTTAACATTTGGATGATAAATTCCTGTTGTAAATGTAACCTCAGGTGGTTTGAAGGGGTAATCCGTTGGGGAATGAATTGTCAAGAAAAATACTCCACCCTGACAGGGACTACCATTTGGCCCCATTATTGTAGCTTTCCAGAGGAACATATCATCTCCAACAGGACCTGCTGAACACTATGCTAGTGGGTCCTGTGCCTGGTCATTCAATTCCTTGTGGATTCTCTTCAGAGCCATGGTGGGAGGCGGGTGGCGGAGCCTACCCCACAGACCCAGTGAGGACGGTTGGGGTCAGGGGAGGGATGAGGAAGGGACTGGGGGCTGAGACCAGCTTGGTGGTCGCAGGTCAGATGGGAAGTTTGAGAGGGCTTCTGGACCTGCTGCAGCACTTACCACATCACCTGCGTCAGCCCCTTTAGGTGCTGCCGCCCACTGTTCTGTTCTTGACTGTGATGATAGCCACACAAATGTGTACTTGTGTTAAAATTACAGAGATCCTAAATATTCACAGGCAGTAGTGGATATAAATGGATTGTATCGCTGTCAGTTTCCCAGATATGATACTGCACTGTAGTTTTGAAGATATTATCATTGGAGGAAACTAGTTGAAGAATAAACAGGATTTATCTTTATCATTTCTTACAACTGCATGTGTGTCTACAAATATCTCTAAATAAAAGGTTTTTGAATTTAGTATGTATAAATAAATCCTATTCTTTCTTTATTCCATCATTCTTCGTTCTTTCCAACTAATTCAGTTCACTCTGCTCCCACCTGAATCATAATGGCAATTTAAATGCTATTATAAATGATTGGAGGCATCACCAAGAGGATAATAACTACCTGATATATTTATTTTCTTGGATCTCATTTGTGCAAATTGTCTTGTCCTAGTCTCTTGGGCCTGTTATGAAACATAAGCCCAGCCAGTTAGCCCTTCAGTTGGCTGGATGAGGGTCCTAATCCTTTATAGTCTCAACTAGCCAGGAATGCTACTTGATATTGCTCCAATATCTAGTGATACTTTTGTATTGTTGATGTCTCAGCAGGACTGTAAACTGCATGAGGGTAGGAGTTCACTCATTCACTTGTTTTTCCATTCAGCAAATATTGATTGCATTGTAGGGAGGCTGAAACTCAAAATTCATCATACATGTGGGGGCAAGGCAAGGCAGGTCCACGAAAAAACGCTGAGAAAATCCAAGCAATTGGTTGCTATGCAAAGCTGTGTCACATGACACCAACCTGTCAAATGTATAAGTAAATGCCCTATGGTGATTGAGCAGTTCCTTTTCCTCCCATCTGGGGAGAGGGCCCCAGCTGATCTCAGCTTTCTGTCTCTTATCTTTATTTCTCCATCCTCTTGCCTTTCTTCCTCTTGCAAACTTTGAGAGTTGTGCTGGACGTAGCACTGAATGACTACTTTGTGGCAGACCCTGTTCTGTTGGTAAAAGCTATGCTGCAGTGTGAGGTTAGTAGGTGTAAGGCAGAGACTGGAAGCAGGAAGGCTGTTTTGTAGCTGTTGCAGAAATTTTGGAGAGAAATGATGATGGCTACCAAGGTAGTGGGCCTGGAGAGAAGGGCCAAATTCAGTCGATGTTTAGGGAAAAGTTAGTTGACTAATTGTGTGTGAAGCATTAATGAGAGGCCACAGATAAGGTTGATTCCCAGGAATCTGGCTTGTTGCCCCAGCCAAAGTGGGAATACCAGAAAGGAGCAAGTTCAGAAA